TTAACAGCAACCCAGTTGAGGGTGTAGGGGTTTCAGGTGCTCAGGGTAAGGCTCCTCAGTTGCCTGGACCGGCAGAAAGCAGTGGTGCTTGAGCGCAGGAACCTATGGTTCTGTTTTGAGGAACATGCCAATCTCCTGTTTACGCCTGGGCTTTCAACGGCACCCCTATTCTGAATAAGCCCTCCTCAAATTGACGCTCTTCACGGTTTGGAGATTTTGACCTCATAGACAGGGAGCCCCGGAGTGAAAGACACAACGTATGTGGAGGTGCTCAGTCTCGCGAGATCTTGCTCTTGTAGCTTTTCTGGTTTTAAGGCAGGTCCCGAAGCCGAAGCCCGAAACCGCCACAAACTTCGAAGCGTAGACCCCTCAACCCTCAACCTCCAACTGTGAGCAACGCCCCTTGGCTTCTAGGAGCAGCTACAGGCGGCGATGCAGCTTTCCCTTGAGGACGCCAAGGGGCATGGTAGTAGGGTCAAAGGCCTTAGGGCTTTCGTACCTAAGCCCTTACGCCCCGCACCCTCACCCTGAATTTACGCCAAGCCCCTGCACCGTTTAGAGTTTAGGTTTTCTCTGGGATAGGCTTGAGGGTGCTGGCCTTTGCGTGGTTTGGATTCTAGAGGATGCAGGGTTCGGTGCGCTTTGTACCTGTATTGGAGGTTACTAGCACATTGGACGCCTGCGTGGGCAGAAAACTTCAAGAGCGGTGCATTTGACAGGGCTGGTTCTCTACAGTCCTGTGCCCAGTTGCTTCCCGAAATCCCTGAACCTCAAAGGCCTGTGAACTCTAAGGACTACATGCTGCTCAGAAATTCGTCTCATTGTTGTTAGGTCCTCGTAACCTCCATAGGTTCCTTGACCGCCCATGGGTGTTTATGCCGGGGAAGGAATTGATGTTCATGTACATCTAGAGAACTCACGGCCAGAGGAAGCAACTGCGGCTGCCAGCCAGGCGGGAACCTAAAACTCTTCAAATGAGATGCCCGCCTGCTCAGCAGCGGATCCTCAAAATTAGGCTTGCGCATATGCAGGGTTTTTATAGGCATCATCGCGTATCTGTACTGGCTCTAGAGTGTCCACGAGAGATTGCACGGGAATTGTAAGGCTCGAGAGTTTCTTCTCTAAGCTGTACTTTCTTTCCTTTGTCAGAACAGATTTCAATTGACCCTTGTGCAGAAAGTATACGGCCGCCCACGCAATCTCCAAGTCCATCCCGCTATCCAAGCCAGGGCATGCGAGGGGCTACTCTGAAGAATAGTGGCGCGGCAAGCGCTTCTGGACTAGACCTCAAGTTCTCCTGCAGGAAATGTTTTTAATTCCCATTGCTACATCCCATTCTCCGCTCTCACCGCACGTGCGCCGAGCGCGAATCTCACACGATCTTATGGGCTACTCAGATCAATTAAAGATCAACTGAACCCAGTCGCCATTTCATTTACCATTTCTCTTGCACTTTATTCTGCAGTCTGCATTATTCTACCTTCGTAGGCTCCTGCATGAATTGCCGCAGCAGTGTACGTGGCTAGATACTGAACTTGAAGCTTGGGTTTTAAAGGGATTCCGAGGCTCGTGCTGTGCTGTGGCTGGTTGGGGCCATGTCCCGGAAGCTGCAGGGATGCGGCATACCTTGCTTGGAGGTTTACCATTGTCCGTTATGGATAGGTTTCCTCCACATAACGGGACTGTGGGTAAACTCCAAGGAAATTTTCCTCACCTGTTTGAAGCCCGTGGCAAGTTGCAACGAAGCTCTTCTAACCTGTTTAAACCAAAACCTTAAACCCAATGTCGAACGCTCCGCTAAACCTTATAAACACCATGCAACCCTATAAGCCTTTTTATGTCCCGTGTTAATCCTGTAGCCAAATACCCTAGACCTTATCCCTAGGCCCTAGACACAATCGTCCCAAAACCCCTTGGAACCCCTGAACCTTGCGAGGCCCCTCAGGGTTCCTCTGCTGGGGGCGGTGGCGGCTTAGCTAGGCCCAGCCGCCCTGGGCCGAGATCATTTCCCAACAAAGACCCACAGGCGCCTCTGAGGTTAAGGATTTTGGGGGTTTAGGCTTTTGGGTTCAGGGTTAAGGGTTCTAAGCTTCAGGATCTGGTTTGTTTAGGATTTAGGGTTCTGATGTTAAGGAGTTGGGGTTAGGATTCTGAGATTGTTTAGGGTTTGAGGTTAAGGATTTGGGGTTTGGGATTCAAGGTTTAGGATCTGGGGCCTAGTTTTTTTTTAATAATGGGGTTGGGGGTTGAAGGGGTTAGGCTTTCATTCTTCAGGCGCAGTTTAGGGTTTTCAAGCTCAGACTAGCGGGTGTACAGGAGCCTTTTAAAGGGGGCGCAGGGCTCCCAAATTGGGTCAGGAATTTCAGGGTTAAGGGTTTAGGATTTTAGGGTTTAGGGACTAGGGTGTAGGGTTTAGGATTTTAGGATTTTAGGGTTAAGGGTTTCGGGTTTAGAGTTTAGGATTAGGGGCCTGCAGTACATAGAGTCTCCGGGATTGTAGGCACGGTTCCAGGGATGCCAAAGGGCGGTGTCGGGCTCAACGGGCGTTTTAGGACATGGAGGCTTCCATAGCCAAATCTATACCATCTATAGGGCAGCGGAGAGCCCAAGTGCCTTCCCGCGATCGTAGGCCTTAGGGCATTCAAGGTTCAGCGCTTTCGCTTGCAGGGTTACGGCTGGGACATGCTGTGACTTGTTCTGCGGATTTGGGGTTCTGCGGCGAGGTCTTACGCCCTTGAGATTTCAACGCCTGGAATTCGGGTTTGGGATTGTCTTGCAAAAGGAATGAGACCACACGGAAGTGATCTTGCTCTTCCACCGTCAGAGTGAAATTGGAGGGTCAAGGGTGAGAAGCTACAGAGAACTTATTGATTGTTGGTGTAGGGTGCAGGAGCCTTACCAAGAAGAGTTCCCGCCGTGCGCCTTCCCTGGCGTACCCTCCATCCTAAGCCCTAAACCCCAAACACTGGACTCCAAACCTACGCAAAACGCCTTGCAAAAAACACACGCGGCAACCCTAAGCTCTAAGCCCTAGACCCCTAAACCCCAAATCCCAAACCCTACCTCCTCCACCTTGAGACCCGTAAGCCCTTCACGGAAACCTTTGAAGGATGCTCTGGCTCCACCCTGCCGGGCCTCTGCCAAAAAGAAGCGTCCCTTGGCGCACCCAAGCTCCCATGGGTTTGGGGTCAGTTTTTGGTAAAGGATTCTAATAAACTACCCAAAAAGGAACTACATAGGAGGGTCTGCAGGATTAAGGTATGCCCTTGGTTCTGTGTGGCTCAGGGCTGGGGGGGGTTGTAGGGTTGGGATGTTGGGTGGATTCCCTTTGGTGTGTGAAGGATTAGGGTAGGGATTGGGGTGCAGGATTTGGGGTCTGGGGTTGAGGACGCAGTTATGAAGGGTCGGAGCTTACCCTCCCCAAAGGTAAGATGGAGCTCCAAATAGGGAAGCATCCTTGGTTACTTTGCCCTGAGCATTTATACTGCTCATGGTGATTATCTCTGCGAGTATTTCGTATCACTGGCAGTTGCATCTCTCATTCCCTTGTTGTTAAACAAGATAATTCAGTATGTTATGAGCAGCCGCGACCCCATCGCTAGCTGTATGTCGCAGCAGGGGATGCCCGACTCCCTGAATCAAGATGCCGTTGCGCAAGCTGTACGTAGATGTATGGTTAGCACTCTGCAACAACATATAAAATTAAGTGGTCATTCTCATTAGGTTTTTTGTGGCACGAGTATCACTTCAACCCTCAACGACACAGCCAACACCTAATCCCCAATCAGTAAACCGCAAATGCAACAATGGCGCCGCGGCTGTGGGCTGCTCTCCTGGCCTTTGTACTGGTTCTTTCGGAGCGTGAGCAAGCAGGCGATCTGGTAGCAGCTCGGCCTGGATCCTAGGGCACGCTGTTTCCATGGATGAATTTACCGCTTTTTGTTTCCTTGGATTTTGTGCGAGTAACTGGCTTTAGGACTAGGGTTTTAAGCGGCCCCAAGTGTCCATGTTTTTTTGTAGTTCAATAGTGTTGACATCGTTGCATCGCATTCGCCATGAAGTACAAGTATCTGCGAAGCTGTCAGGACACCTGGGCTGCCGCCGGCTGGGGAAGAGGCGATACGGAGAAAGACGATACAACGAAAAGTCCACACTACCTCTGAAGAAAGCTCAGTCTATGCGCCGTACAAGGACTTAGCGTTCCCAGCTTCAATATAAGCGCGGAATTGATTCTGCTCAGCAACCGATGCTCCATAGTGTTCTGCATGTTTCATGCTAAGCTCAGAGCAAGCTACCGTGTAGACTGCCTCAAGGAGCACCGCATCTGCAGTAAGATAAGGCCGGAAGAGGGCAGGATTTTACTTAGTCTCAAAATCGAGCGATTTGGCATGGAGAGCTTTCAACCATATGCAGGGATGGGGTCTTGCACTGCACGTGCAGGACCCGGTTTTTCAAAATCTGCAAAAATGATGTATTCTGTGTCCTTTTGTTTTTCCATCTGCCACATGTACATGCAAACAAGAATCATTGTTCATGGAATAGATTGCCCCAAGGCAGAGAGAATGAGAAGCTGCTGCGGCGAGCCCTGGAAAGGCTGGGGGTTGGCCATGAATATTTTGAAGCGAACGCGCAGAAGGATGACCACTGCGAATGGGAGGGCATGGATTGTGGAGGCGGCTGCGCGGTGACTGGATTGGATTTGTGGGGTGACCTGGATGGTAACTTCGACGGCCTGGCCATGCTTCCCGAGTTATCTTACTTGCAGCTTCTGAGTGCGAATCTCGGAGGCAGCCTGCAGGACCTGCAGCACCTGAACAAGACTCGTTATCTGACCCTCCACGGCAGCGAGATCACAGGCAGCTTGCAGGACCTGCGGCACCTGAAGCGGATTAAGGCGCTGAACCTCCTCAGCAGCAAGATCACGGGCAGCTTGCAGGACCTGCTTGCAGGACCTGCAGTCCCACAAGATTCAATGGCTGACCCTCCACGGCAGCGAGATCACCGGCAGCCTCTCGACATTGCAGGGGATGCGGAAGCTGGAGCGGCTGTCGCTGCACAGTCGCTATATCAACGGTACCCTGAGCAGCTTGGCACAGATGGATCGCCTCAAGGTGCTATGCCTCTACAGCGGGGAGATCAAAGGCAGCTTGGATGATCTGAAGAGCATCATGCAGCAGCTTCGCAGCCTGGACCTCGTCGGCACGAGCGTGGACGGCACTCTGATCGCAGGCGACAAGGTCGCGAGGGAGGAATGCTTACCCGCGCCTAGGCCTACATGGACTCTTTCCAACTCGAACCCTGGGCCTCGTCAGAGCTACGGATAGCTCCAGACTGACGCCTTGGCATTGAGTTTAGGGTTTAGGTTGTTCAGGCTTGAGGGTTTAGGGTTGACGGTGTTTAGGGTTCAGGGTTTAGTCCCGATTTGATTCAGGTGCTCAAAAGGGCGTGACATCGTTGCGCCTGGTTTTTGAGTCTTACGTCCTTGTTGTGCGGCGGACCCTATCGTGACCAATTATTTAGGCCCTTTTGGCTTTACTTCCTTAGTTGTTAGGAGTGGGGGCATGATAGGCATTCTGAGCAATCAAGTGTACTGCGCGATTAAGCCTGTATGTAAGGATTTCATGTGAGGAGGCTATATTCGCTTAAGCCCATGTATCAGGCTTTTCCCCAAATTACAAGACCGCAAATCAATCGCGTTTAGCTGATTAACTACTCAGATTCCATGTTTCACGGGTTAAGGGTTGCTTGGGATTCAAAGAATGCTGGTGTTTTGAATGAGAGATGTGAGTTTCAAGAGTACGTGTGACTTCTGCTCCATGATTCGGGCAATGACCCTAAACCCTACAAAGCCCTATACATCCCAATATACTCCCCATATCCTCCCTATACCCTACGTAACCCGCATATTACCCCCATAGGGTAAATAGTCTGCACCAAGCCCAATGTTCATGAGCCAAGCAAGGCCGTAGGATCATACCTTTTGAGCTGAAGCAAGCTCCACCATCACACCCGCTTTCTCGGCTGAGCGCTAAGTCCCTAAGCACCTGAATCAAAAAACCTCTAAACCTCAGAGCCCCAAGCCCTGAAAGCATGGACCCTGAACCCTAAAACTTTTAATCTTGATTCTAAGGCTGTATTATCTTTGGGCGTCGGGCGCCGCACCTTTGTTTTGTATGAGTAGCAATGGCTACATGGCAATGACCAGGACGGAGCAAAGGCTGCGAGAAAAATGAAAGACTCTTGAACGATGGGGCATGGCAGTTGGAGAGGGCAGCACCTTTTTCTAATAATTTTTGAGTCAGCGCTTGTCATCCTGTCATGCCCTTGAACTCTCCCCACCCCACTGCCAGCTGCGGTTGATCTTCCATGGCCCTTTCAGCCCAGGGGGTGAACCTCGGACAGAAGGCGCGGAGGTGGAGATGGAGCAAGGAGAAATCGCCGAGCCTTGCCTAAAAGTCTCAGTGGTCCAGACTTTTACATAGGTCTATTGGGGTATAGTTTTTTTTTGTCTAGGGTTTGTAGGCTTAAGATTTGTAAAGGGCTCAGACTTCCAAAGGGTTTAGGGTTTTCAAGTGGTTTCAGGTCTTGGTTTGGGATTAGGGGTGAATAAGGCCGGGTTATGAGGGCCCAGCATCATTCTAGGTTCGGGTGTAGGCCATGGGGATGCCGCTTTGGAGTTTGAGGTTTGGTTCAGGGCTGAGGTAGGGGGTCTAGATATCATTGGACATTCGCTCTGGATACGGGATCTTGGTTAAGGTTGATGCCTTTCCTCATATCTTCCTTATGCTCGCACTAAGCAAGGGGGGGACCGACCACGTGTGCCTATGACACTCTTCAGGCTCTAGGATGTTCTGGGTGTGGAAAGCCCATAGAGAGGCATAGGGTTCAGAGCTGCATGGGTCAGGTGAAGGATTGGCAAGACTTGAAAGAAACCCTCATATCCTCACCCCAAACATTCTTGGAGGTTCAGCTGGGCATGCTTCCATAACCCCAAGCTCAGGGGCACTAAAAACAAGAAGCAGATTCCGACACTTCGCGCCTGGTCCCTGAAACCTCCAAAACCCTGAACGAAGTCCCCAAGATGGCAGTGGTGTCATGCTGCAACTTGGTCTTGGACATTCCGTTCTTTTCTTAGTTTGGGCGGGGCATAGCAAGCCAGAGACGGGACCTTCAACCCTACAATCCAGACCGCAGAGCCTACACCCGAAACTGTACCCTACCCTGAGCCCTGAACCTTGACCCCAAACCCTGAAGTACTCCCAACCAGAAGCTGGCTGTATCAGGAGCTCCTCAAGCTTCTTTTCGGCGATACGCCGGAGGCGCAGAGAATTCATGGCATGGCTTCAGGATTCAAGGATTATCGGGGTTAGGATCTGGGGGTCAGGATGGAGGCTTTTTTGAGATGAGCTCCTGCTTATGGGTTTAGGGTGTAGTGGCCAGTGTTCCAAGGTTCAGCATTGCATGGCATGGGGTTCGATATCCTTGCGTCAATTTCCATGTTCAGTTATATAGATGCGCGAGATGATTATTCCAGGGCATGCACGCTGTAAGGGGCATGGACTTGTTTCGTTAGTCGAGCTCACTGTGTGGCCTAATTAGAACCATTTGTTTCGACGCAGGACCTACATAGAAGTTCTCATATTGTACACCCAGCGGACTTGCTGTCATCAATTCATTCACAACCTAGACATCTCAACTCCCTTACCTGAGCCATTGTCTAAACTCCTAGTAGACTATAGCTCATGTGAAAATATTTCCAGCTAAACATGCGTTCAGACATGAGCTCCCCATCAGGCATTGCAGCCCAAAATTGGTAGGTTGTAAGCTCCAGCGCTAGCAATCCTCTCGGCAAATTGAATTAATCTGACCTGACCTCACCCTGAGTGGTGGCTCGCAGCCAGAATCACCCCAAAAGGGCTTTCGTGATGGACTTCGGACTCTGACACACACACACACACACACACACACACACACACGCACACACACCCACACCCACCCACCCACCCACCCACCCACCCACCCACACACACAC